CAAGAACCGTGCAACAAGTTCAAGGATCTAGATCAAGCAAGAAATGAAAGCAGTTTGTGCTAATATGTTTTGGTTTTTGTTTTTAATTTCTCTTTCAACTGCAGCATTCCTTACGTGCACTTCAGACAGCATGACAATTGTTTTGAGCAAGTCTTACCTGGCCTCCCTTGGTTATAATGAAACCCACCTACAGATGAGTGATCCGTCTTGCAGCCCCCTTGTAACAGATTTGGTGACTTTTTCCTTCCCCTTGGCCAGCTGTGGAACAACTAAAAAGGTAAAGGGAGGAGAGAAAAGCTCTGTGAACGAGCTAACAATAGGTTATCTATAATTCTGTGCTTATGAATGATAAGAGCTTGTAAAAGCAGTTTATGAATAGCATCTGAATAAGCTGATTTAGTTTCACTTAGTTCATCCCATCGTACATTTCCAGTCTTGAAGCATTAAGAACAATTTTTCCTCTTCAAGAACCTGATGATTCATGAGCTTTTCAAAGGAAGCCCAGGAGAATCCACACAAATTAATGCCAAATTCCCTCTCCAAGCCAGGTTATCAGAGTAGCACAACGTTAGGTATGTAACTCAAACATTCCCTGCAAGTGACACGGCTGGCACTGACCCCGGAGTCACAAGGAAAGGGCAAAATCCCTAAGATGTGGAGTTTCCCAAGACCTAGTTCATAGCATTGTTTTGATAAAGGTGACTCAAGTATAACTTTGGTACTTTCCACACTCCGTGCCACCTTCCTTAACCTCTTCACCGCACAGGGTGGCTCAGTGCTTTGAAAAACCAGGAGGAGGGTTGATAATTGTTTCCTGGTCACAACTTATTTCACATTTCATGGGTACCTTGAGCCTCCCATGAATGCAGCTGGGCAGCTCTCTAATGTTAGTCCAACTGCTTTCGACTGCACGCCTCACACAACGGCAACTGAGCACTTCACACCCTTCCTTCCACAGGACGACGGTCACAGCATCACTTACACCAACATCATCTCTCTCTCCCCGACCGGCAACATCATCACCCGCCAAAAGAGCACACAGATTATTGCCAAATGCAAAATGGAAAACAATTCCACCTTAGAAGTCATTTACGTAACGAAAAACGATATCATCCAGAACACCACCGCCGTGGGCAGATACAACGTCAGCATGTCCTTCTACGACTCCAACTCCTTCTCCAAGCCTGTGCTTCAGTCCCCCTATTACGTAGACTTGAACCAAACTCTTTTTGCTCAAGTCACTCTTCATTCCACTGACCCGAATCTTTTGGTGTTTGTCGACACCTGTATAGCATCTCCTCAGCCCGAGTTCAGATCCCCAACGTATGACTTAATCAGAAGCGGGTAAGACTCTCAATTATTTTATGATTGTCTCCTAAAGCGTGAGGAAACATAATCTAAACGTCAACCACAGTTCTCCTGTTTCTTTCCCACTTTTCTTGAGTAGATTGTGGTTGAAAACTAAATTTCATAGAAATTTAAAAACATTACATGAACAGAACTAGGAAAAACAGGCACTGCACTGCAGCGGGGAGAGGAAAAAAATATATGCCCACATGTAAAAATAATGCCCTAGTTATGCTATTAGTTATAATATTGCAATTACAGTTAAGAATAGTTAGCAAAAATTATTATTGTACATGGACTACTTTAACAGCCCTGTAAATTCTGTTGCAGGTGCAATAAAGACGACACTGTGGTAACATACCCACCACTTGAACACTACGGACGATTCACATTCAGCGCCTTCAGGTTCCTGCAGAGCTCCCCATCAGTTTATCTCCAGTGTGATATTTTGATTTGTGACAGCAAAAACCCAAACTCTCGCTGCACCGAAGGCTGCATCTCCAGGCAAAAAAGAGCCATTTCTTCCTACATCTGGAAAACTAATACCATAGTAGGTCCCATCCGCCTGAAAAGAAATCTCAGGTCTGCTGATCACTCAGGTAAGAGGAATACGTAAATTAAGAACCTGATTAAGCTCTTCCTTTGTGCAAATCTTGTTCCCTTTGTTCCACTATGAAATAAGTGAATTACATGGTTTCAAAACCAGCGTGGCATGAAAGTTTCATTGAACCAGGTTCAATGAAAGTTTGTGTTTTGTGAGATCAGAGAAGTACTTCTCAAACGGACAGACTGATGGGCTTCTGGAGGAGGATGGTTGTGTTCTTTGAAGTAGAAAAAGTTACAAAATTAGCATCAGAAAAAGTTATAAATGGCAAGAGATTTCAGATTTTCAAACATGTTATTTTTTTGATGAGGCACACACAGGGACCAGGGCTCATTCCTCAAAGCCACAGACTAATTGAAGAGCACATTCCAAACCACGTCAGGCTTTGTTACAACCTTTTGTGTGTTCTAACAGTCCACTCTATTTCACTCATTTTTATATTTGTTGGTACGACAGAAAAGCTATGCCAGGTGATAAACACAGATGACTTACCCCAGAGGCCAGGTTAGACCCTCAGGCTGGACATATTGCCTATTAGAACCAAAATATGACAAGGACAGCCACCGGAGCAGAAATCAAAATGCTTTTAAATTAAAGCTGCAATGCTATTTAAGAGACAACTAAGCCTTAATGCCCCAATCTGCCATGCTCTCTAGCACAATTTGCAATCTACTCTATAGAGGTGTAGAGGAGCACTGAGAGCTAATGTACAACAGATGGCAAAATACAGCAAAAGCTCCTCCAAAGGGTTTGTATTGTTACTCCCCCTACACCCAGACTTCTAACTTTTATTAAGCACAAAGCTTCACCTGAGGAAAGCACATCCTGCCACATGCTTTCAGGTGTCAGATCTAAGAAGTATTTAGCATTAATCATGCTCTTAATAGCAATAAACATTTTCTCCCTTTTAAAAAATAATTATTAACCTCTCTGAACTCCAGCAGCATTTTATACGTGTTCCCATTCAATAGTGAAAGATTTGGCATCCATACACTAGAAACTGCACACATGCATAATGTGAAAAGGATTCAAGTGCAAACAGATCACACTCAAAGTATTATAAAAAACAGATCGATTCTCATAGTATGTTTCATGATTTACAGAAAAATAATGAGTTTTGCCACAGACCAGCTAAAGGATCATTAAAAGGCAGAGGGTTAGAACCACAATTTGTCTTTTGCCCAGTTTTGCTTCAGCAGTATGTCCCCCATCTGTCCAGGTGTGAAGATAATCCTTGGCAGGAACTTGGCTTCAGTGATACCAAAGTATTTGTTAACATCGTGATGCTCTTCTGCACAATTATTTATTACCAATTACTCCAGATTCAGGATTTGCAATCGGTGTGGGTCAACTCCTCAGGACCAAACTATCTGAAGAAATGCTTATTTAACCTTCATGTTTTTAATCTTCAAAACTGATTATTTTATTACCAATTACTCCAGATTCAGAATCTGCAATCAGTGTGGGTCAACTCCTCAGGACCAAAATATCTGAAGAAATGCTTTTTTAACCTTCATGTTTTTAATCTTCAAAACTTTAAACATCCCACTTTTGTTCTTTCTCCACACAGAATCCCTCACTAAAGCAGACGTCGAAGAAAGATCGAACCTGCAACAATACAGCTTCTACACTCTTTCATTTGTGGCTTTAATTTCAAATATTATCATTGTGGTAGCTGTGATACTAAAATATCACAAACGTCAGGCAGGATACGGCTACCAAAAAATCCAGACCTCATATTAACTACTTCAGGATATTTTGAACTTGTGTCAACTTCTATTCAAATTTGTCACCCAAAGAGGGGAGAGGTAAAAAACCCAAACCAACCAAAAAATATAACAACAAAAAATAAAATCAATAAACGAACACCTTGGAATATACACTTGGAAACATATTTTAACTTGTAATTAAACAAAACCTCTCAGCCTAGTAATCTTATCTTAAATACTTAGTTGTAAATGTATGTGCCTACCTCAGGGTGTTTCTTAAAAAACATCTAAACTAACTTTACAGGTGTAAAGTGACTTGTAAAGTACAAGACAATTTAGGTCCTTTTTTCTTAAAAAAGAATAAATTCTATTTCTATCTTTTTGAATCACTTTGAAGCTGCACCTGGCATGAGTTAAGCTGAGAGACAACTGCAAGACATCTGTTCAAATTATCCTCTCTTTAAAAATCTACTTTGGACTGCTACCATCAAGATCTGACAGTCTTCGAAAGACATCAGTTTTACTGGAGAAAAAGAAAATATTAGATAGACTAGATAAAGTTACTGTATTGTAAGTGCCAACACTTGGCTTGTTGAGTCAACACTTGCTTCCCCATCGATAGCTTTTGCTCAACAGAATTGAAGACAGCAAATACAACCAACGTCTGTGTGCCCAACCAAGTCCCCATACAGTCCAAGTTAAACTGTGCACCCCAGAATTCAAAGAGCAATAAAAAGAATGAAGTCTGAAGCCTGACATTCCACAAAAAAGGGACTTCAAGTCCCATTCCTACCTCCCCAAATGACAGTAGAACCGATCCCAACAGGTTGAAGTAAATATGATGCAGTAAGGCTACTTCTCCGGTGTAAAGTTGGTGAAATAGAACATGCTGGGGTAGGATCTGCTGTAGGATCCTCCTTGAGAGGGACCACAAATGAAGAACTTACATTTCTTAGGATAATGAAACACAGATTAAAAACAAGTCTGCTAAATATACTTTCATTTCAGTTGTTCCTGCATGGCTCAATTAATGTAAGAGGGGAAAAAATTATGACAGTCTTGTTTTAGCTACCACTTAAGGAGCCAGTTGCTATCTTAGGTGTCTGTAAAACCAGCAACGCTTTCAAAAAACCCAGTCCAAGTGAACTCTCTGGACCTGACTCCCTGAACAGTCTGAGTTGAGGCAACACCAGTACTACCCTTCCTCTTATAGGAGTAACAGACGTCGTCAACACCAGTGCCATTGAAATAAACCAAAAGCCCAAAGAAACTACATTTTGTTCCGGTGGTTACACACTGCACATCAAAAAAAATCAAGACAAAACAGTGAAGCGATTACATGCAGGTAAAAGATAAGCTGTAATTCAGTTTATTTAGAGTACTTCTCCATTTTCAAACTGAAAGTGGGAAACGGCATTTCATACAGCTTTTAGCAATGCTCTTTAAATAAATAAGCCACAAAAGGCATACAAAACTCTTATATTTAGGAAAAAACACACATTTTTAAGATCTTTCATAAAACTAACAACTGTGTACAATAGTGGAGAGAATTACAGTAACAAAAATGCAAGTCAACAACACTGAGGTTCTTTACAGTTATAACTCCATAAATACTAAGCTCTGTAAAGTATAATTGCCCTTAAAGCACTTACACTGAAGTCCTATATCTACATACATCTACCTCTCTCCATTAGAGAACCCTTCGTTAGAGTCATAGTGAGCTTGAGAGATTTTGTTTGGCTTTGAGTTCTGAACCAAGTCCATTAAGAGAACCATTTTATTATCTATATGTGTCTGAAGAGCCTGGATTTGGCGATCAATATAGTCCATTAGTTTTTTCTCCATCAGATCCATATTTTTGGAGATGATCTTTTCCAAATAGGAACAAATAGGCTGTTGTTCTACTCTGTGAAAAGAGAAAATAGAAAAATAAGTATAACCAATTTCTTAATGACAAGGGGCATGATAGAGATCTGGGCATTTGAACTTCTTTGAAACGTAAAAATCTCATTTATTAGATAATAAGCTTTGGAAGGTATTAGGTTTTTAGCCTTTCTGCCACATTTTAAATATCAGATTTTTTTTCTAAACATACTAGGGGATATAGTCATCTTCTTTCAACCTTATGCATTAGACAGCTCTGTTATGTATAACAAATCCCACACAACAGTGTACACAATGTTCAAATTCTGTCGGTATGGCAGGCTTTATTCTTTTCAGCCAAAGTGTTTCAAGAGTTATACAAACTATGCAATTCTTCATTTTTGCATCTGCATTCTTTAAAAATACTGCACTTTCCCAAGAGCTGGAGATAATCAGGCTCTATTAGGACCCTGATTCCTACACAACATTCCTACCTCTCCCCATTCCCCCTACCATTCCCTAGGTCTCAAACTGGGCACGCTACTACTGCTGCTAGGAATCTTGCACTGTAAATGCCAACAAACGAGGAGAAACAGGAAAGATTGGTGGGGTGAGATACACTGGAACAGAAAGAATTCAGGAGGCAGAAGTAGTCAAAATTGAAATGTAGTAATGGAGGAGTAAGACAAACTAAATTAAATTGAAGAAAGACCATACTTTTTTTTTTTAAATCATGAAAGGTGAAATTGAGGCAAAAGATACAGTTTAGTAACCACAAATGATTCTGTGATTTCTTCTGAAAAAGACTGCATATTCAAGCAGCTCATCTGAAAAACTGTAATCATGTTCATCACCACACAGCATTCAAAATCACTTAAGAGTCACTATTGCAGTTAATGAGAATGCTTCCATTATGTATTCTGTTTATGCTTCCACTTAAGAGTCACTATTGCATTCAATGAGAATAAAATGCTTCCATTATGTATTCTGTTTATGCTTTAAACTTGTCAATAAATACAGTAAAACTACTACTTTAGTAAGTGCACCAAATTCAACTTACCCAACGCTCTGAAGGCTTTCCTCTTTAGCTGCTGCATTTTTACCAAAATGCCTATCGCCATCTCTGAGCCGCAGATGATTTACCTGACTGCACAAGTTTTGAAGAAAAGGAAGAAGCACCTGTGGATTAGCTACGTTTGGGGTTTCGCTCACTTGCTCCTGTGCATGCAAAGATCCCATGACTTTGAAATAATTTCTGAGGTCGACTGTATTTTGCTGGGCAGTAAGTCTTTCAGAATCAGAAGTATCCCCTCTTTCAGGTACCTGCCTGTCCAGGTCACGACTTATTTTTAAGTCGTCATATATAGTTTCACTTTTCAAATGATTTTTAACAGACAAAGGTTCACTGGCTGATTGATCTAGTGATGTCTGAATAGCTGCACCGCGGGATCCATCCATCACATGGTCATCTCCCAGGTCTGAATTTTTCCCAAAGATCCAATTAAGTTTGTCTCCAAGAGGTAAACTGTTCTGGTGGGAAGAAAAACAATACGATTAATAATTAAGTATTAAAATATACTGGAAATTATACAATAATAACAATAAACACTTTATAACTCAACATTCTACTAGTGTGATGTCATTACAGGGAACATGCCCACCATCCCTGACAATCAGCAACAATGGAAACAAACAAAAGGAGAGCAGGGTGGCAATGAAGTTTAAAAATAATACAGGGTTCTTAACTCTGGACTTGGTGCATGCACAGTGACTCCTTGAGTATACAATCTTCACTACGCTCATTTAAAGGTGTAATTAGCTAAACCAGTATTAAAATGGCAGAAAGTGCATGTTAAGAAAAGAAAAATCAAAAATCTTTTTCACCAAATAATTTCAGAACATGCTTAACTGTCACGAAAAGCCACAGATCAGTACTATTTCTGTTTACAGAAAAGCACGGGGACTTACCTTCTGCTGAGAACGGACCAAGTCCATGAGTTGCTGAGCACCTGGAGACAACTTAGATCCCAGAAAAATAATATAGGGTTCTTAACTCTGGACTTGGTGCACACGCAGTGACTCCTTAAGTATAGTATACAATCTTCACTACGCTCATTTAAAGGTGCAAATAGTTAAACCAGTATTAAAATGGCAGAAAGTGCATGTTAAGAAAAGAAAAATCAAAAATCTTTTTCACCAAATAATTTCAGAACATGCTTAACTGTCACAAAAAGCCACAGATCAGTACTATTTCTGTTTACAGAAAAGCACGGGGACTTACCTTCTGCTGAGAACGGACCAAGTCCATGAGTTGCTGAGCACCTGGAGACAACTTAGATCCCATGGATTCCATTATAGTTTGCACTCTGTCTAGGTCTATGCTTGAGCTTAGTGAAGGAAAATCAGTTGCTAGTTTTGCAGACACCGTTTTCACTTGTACAATTATTTTACTGATGAGTACTCTTTGTTTCTCACCAATGGAGAGCAGCTATTGCAGGAAGGAAAAAAAAAATGTTGGTTAGAAAAAAAACAGTTTTGTGTTTGCTTTGTATGTATAAGACACTGCATTATTCTTCGAGACTTGGGAAAAACGATGCTGAACTATTTTCCAGAGAAATTAACCCGACTTCTTCTTGCACTTCATAAAATTCTGACTGGAACAGAGATGCCTGCATGACCCAAAGATAAATCAGGCCTCAATGTTCTAAATGCTTACGAGCAGTGGCCACACAGATTCTCATAAGGTTATTTAACCACATCAGAGTTAGCAGTTTTAAATACGTAGCCATTGTTGACTATCTGCAGTTTCCCTGGTTTATAAAGTTTTCTTCCCCTAAGACTATATTATCTCTCTCATATAAATATCAAGTCTTCATAAAAAGAGACCTGTGATACAAAGTTAAAAGGAGAACTCTGCTCTCAAGACAAAGTATCATCTAACAGACTTAAGTATTTATATGAAGTGATGAACTGTATAAAAACAACAATTTGACTAAGAGCAAGGCAATTTAGTCAATTAAGTGATTAAAAAGACATAGAAAAATAAAACAATTCTGTTCAACTCCCTACCTTAATTCTACAGGAGGCTGCAGGGCATTCAAACTTAAGGTACTTTCTGTATAAAGTAACCTTTTCAGTTTCGCTAGAAAAATAAAATAAATTAGTTGTGACATCGCTGTATAAAGTCCTTTTTTTTCTTTAGTTGAAATACTCTATATCAGTAAATATTCAGATAAGAAACAAAACTGACTGGAACACATTTCTAATGTGATATAGCAGTTTTAATGCTTTTATGCAACTTGTATTGAATCTTATCGGATACATATGTAAAAAAGGATTTGTATGTGTACGTACATTATCTACTAGAGAAGCTTTTGAGGTTCAGTACGTTATTCACACATCTTCCCTTTGGCTCTGAGTCGGCTGTTTTATTTAGCTAATTAAGCAGCAGATGTGTCATGTAATGACTTAAAAACAAAAAAGAAGACATTGCTTTAATTGCCCTGGCAAAGCATGGAAGCAAGTACTGAAGGGGAAAACAAATCCTTCTTTTTTTTTTCTCCACTTTCTCTCTTGTTCTTAAAAGTGTGAAAAGTGTCAAAGAGACAAGAGATCTGATAAAAATCGGCTAAAAGAGACCTGCTGAAGAGACTGAAGAGCAGATCTGTTGTCCAAAAAAGATTAAAAGGTACAGAAAAGCTTCACCTGCCTTAACTCCTCCTGTAGTCTTAAACAGCAGGATTTCAGAGGAGCGCTTTACGACTTAGTGAATTAAACGTCCCAAAACTAACTCCAAAAAGAACAAAAAAGGTAACTAGCACAACTGCAGCCTTCTATCTTTAGGGAGGAGGCAGCCCTTGTTGGTGCAAGCCACCAGGAGCTGTGCGGGGGACACCGGGGGGATCCCAGGCGGCTGCGGAGCCTTCGCCCGTTCATGGGTATCGCACAGACCTTCAGGAAAGCCCGAACCGGGTGGCTGTGGCGGTGCAGACATCAGGTCTTTACCAGCGGGAGCACCTTACAGATACACAGACAGCCGTAAGAGAAGGGCCGGGCGGTGTTGGGGGCCC